TGTATTGTATTGTATTGTAATGGAGTGAGCTCCCGTGACTTGTCCCAGCTTCTGCCAACCTAGCAGTTCGAAAGCACGGTAAAAATACAAGTAGAAAAATAAGGACCACCTTTGGTGGGAAGGTAATGGCGTTCCATGTGCCTTTGGGAGTTGAGTCATGCCGGCCACATGACCACGGAGACGTCTTCGGACAGCGCTGGCTCTTCGGCTTTGAAACGGAGATGAGCACCGCCCCCTAGAGTTGGGAACGACTAGCACATGTGTGATGGGAATTGTTACCTTTACTTTATGTAATCTGATCCAGCATTTAAGCGTATCTCCTTCATTCCCTTGAATGTTGCAAGTTATTTGCATTTTCAGAAGAGATGCCTAGAACACACCCAAGGCTCGAGTAGCAAAGGGGTTTGGGGACCTTCCTTGTAGCGAAGGATGAGTTGGACACCCTCTCTTGTGAAGCTGCTTGGGGCTCCCAGCCGGTTTCTGATGGCTGCTCCCTTCCATGGTTCCTCCCTTCAGTTCCAACTGTGGACACGACCCGCACCACTTGGCTCCTGGAGAAGATGGTGAAGATCAAGCGGCCGATGGTTCTGGTAGGAGAATCGGGGACCTCCAAGACGGCCACGACGCAGAACCTGCTCAGGAAGCTGAACCCGGACACGAACGTAAGGCTGCCGCAATCTGGATCGCGAGTCCGTCCTCTGATCTGTTGGGCCGTTTTTCCACCTCTTGGTTGCTCCTCTCCTGTAACCGAAAGGTCCTTTTTTTTTCAGGAGGCAACTGGGTTTCCTTGTTTGTTTTTTCTTTTGAAGACGTTTCTCTTCTCATCCAAGGAGCTTCTTCAGCTCTTCATGAAGAAGCAACGGGACTTTCTGGTTTTTCTTTGAACTGGTTTTGCTTCTCATCCAAGAAGCTTCTTCAGCTCCAACTGGATGGTGGTGGAATGGAAGGATTTATGCTCCTAGCAGACAGCTGACCATTTGCATCCTTTTTTTAGAAGGTTGTTGAGACCACTTGGAGGTTTTTATCCGTGTCCTCAGGTTCACCCGAGTGGTGCAAATGGTTCCTGTAGTCTGCAGTTTTTCCTCTGGAAATCCACTCCTACCATTCCAAGGGGCTTCATCCCAAATTGTACAGCTAAAAGTCTGTAGAGATTCCCAGCCATCCAGGTCATGGCTGCCCCAAAGGTGCTTTTTCACGAGACCACTGGACTTCCTTATTTTTTCCTTGAATATGTTTTGCTTCTCATCCAAGAAGCTTCTTCAGCTCCGACTGAATGGTGGTGGAATGGAAGGATTTATGCTCCTTGCAGACAGCTGGTCATTTGCATCCTTTTTAGAGGGTCATTGAGGCCACTTGGAGGTTTTATACTCCTTGCAGACAGCTGGTCATTTGCATCCTTTTGAGAGGGTCATTGAGGCTACTTGGAGGTTTTATACTCCTTGCAGACAGCTGGTCATTTGCATCCTTTTGAGAGGGTCGTTGAGGCCACTTGGAGGATTTATACTCCTTGCAGACAGCTGGTCATTTGCATCCTTTTAGAGGGTCATTGAGGCCACTTGGAGGTTTTATACTCCTTGCAGGCAGCTGGTCATTTGCATCCTTTTAAAAGGGTCATTGAGGCCACTTGGAGGATTTATATTCCTTGCAGGCAGCTGGTCATTTGTCTCCTTTGAGAGGGTCATTGAGGCCACTTGGAGGTTTTATACTCCTTGCAGACAGCTGGTCATTTGCATCCTTTTGAGAGGGTCATTGAGGCTACTTGGAGGTTTTATACTCCTTGCAGACAGCTGGTCATTTGCATCCTTTGAGAGGGTCATTGAGGCCACTTGGAGGATTTATACTCCTTGCAGACAGCTGGTCATTTGCATCCTTTCAGAGAGTCATTGAGGCCACGGAGGATTTATATTCCTTGCATGCAGCTGGTCATTTGCATCCTTTTGAGAGGGTCATTGAGGCCACTTGGAGGTTTTATACTCCTTGCAGGCAGCTGGTCATTTGCATCCTTTTGAGAGGGTCATTGAGGCCACTTGGAGGATTTATACTCCTTGCAGACAGCTGGTCATTTGCATCCTTTTAGGGGGTCGTTGAGGCCACTTGGAGGTTTTATACTCCTTGCAGACAGCTGGTCATTTGCATCCTTTGAGAGGGTCGTTGAGGCCACTTGGAGGATTTATACTCCTTGCAGACAGCTGGTCATTTGCATCCTTTTG